GGAAGTGTACTCGTCAAGACCCGTTTGCACCTCGAATTTTACCAAGATGAGGGCATTTAACATTTCGAAGAAAGTGAGCTCCTCTCATGCCTCCAGATCCCCTGCTTTGTTTATCCTTTTTTTTTTTTGGAGTTCCTATCCACCATGATGTTTGGTAAATCGTGGTGAGACCCCATACAACCAACAACTTCGAAGTGTTAAACTTAGTTATTCTTTGAGATGTCTATTGAGAACTCGCTAAACTATATAAACTAGGATTGTGAAAATCCAGATCAGTTTTGATATTCCACAACATTTTTTTAGATGGCAGCAGGGGTTCTAATTTCTTTAAAAATTGGAATGTGTATATGTCTTGAAGAGTGGAAGTAAATTCACAATACTCTCATTATATGCAGATGATATCCTAATAGTTGGAAATGACTTAAAAATGATTGATAAGACTAAGTCATGACTTTCTTCTCAGTTTGAGATGAAGGATATAGGAGAAGCATCTTACGTCTTAGGTATAAAAATAACTAGAGACAGAAAATAAAAAATGTTGTGTTTGAGCCAAGAGAGATATCTTGACTCTATCCTCAAAATATTTTAAATGGAAAATTGTAAACTATTGTCTACTCTTGTTGAAAATGGAGTAAAGTTGTCTATGAATATATGTACAGTAGAATGACAAGAAAAGCCGAACGTTCCTTATGCACAAGCTATTTGTAGCTTAGTATATGCAATAAGATGTACAATACCAGATTTGAGTTATTCCATAGGACTTCTTAGTAGATATCAAAGTAATCCATGCATAGCTCATTGGAAAACAGTAAAAAAAATTCTAAGGTACATTAAGGGAACAAAGCATCTAAAATTGTGTTTTCAAACAGATAAGCTTGAAGTTATAGGATATTCAAATGCAGATTTTGCTGGGGATAAAGATGATAGTAAGTCCATCTCAGGACATATTTTCCTCTTTGGAGGGGCAACTATTTCTTGGTCTAGCAAGAAACAATGGTGTGTAGTTCGGTACACACATGAAGCAAAATACATTGCATGTAGCACTGATTGTACTTTTGCCGTCTGGATAAAGCGCTTCATAGATCACTTGAAACTGCAAATAATGGACGGACCGTTCCAAATATTTTGTAATAATCAAGCCGCAATTAAATTAATTCAAAGTGGAGCAAATAGCTCCAAAAGAAGACATATAGATGTCCAATATCACTACATTCATGATGTAGTTGAGAAAGGTGAAGTAACTGTTCGTTACTTGATATGATCACTGATCCATTAACAAGGGGTCTAAGTGTTGAACTAATGTCTAAGCACACTCGCTTAATGAGACTTAAAAATGTTTAAGTCAGTCAGTTTTCATGAGTGACAAATCAGCATTAGCATGAAAATACTCATGATAGACGTTTGTTATGAGAGGCATATCTGCAAAAGTGTGAGAAAAACTTCATAACAAGATATTTTTTTAAAGGTCATACTCAAAAGTGGGAATATGCATGTGACTCATTATGTTCGACCGTCATAGCCAAATGGGAGATGTTGACATGTATGGCTATGAGGTCTTATGTGTTTTAACCAATATTTGTGGGAATCAAATATATCCAACAGTCATATGGTCCAAACGTCCATATGAACTTAACCCCTCTTTTTTTTTTTCTCAGATACCCATTGGAGATTAGGGAAGCCACCCATTGGAGATCAGGGAAGCCCTTTGTTTTCGCAGAGCCCAGATTTTCTATCCTTTTACTTTTAGATAGAGAATAATTTTACGTAACTGTACACCTTTTTCTTGTTGTACACATCCTCTCTCTGGCTTCCCATTTTATAGGGAGAAGAAGGGGTAACCGTTGGATCTCTAAAAAAAAAAACGAGGGGTTATGTTCATATGGACGTTTGGATCATATGATCGTTGGATATATTTGATTCCCACAAATGTAGATTAAGACACGTAAGACCTCATAGCCATAGATGTCAACAATGAGCTACTTAACATCTTAACCATTTTGCTTCATTTAATCATAAGAAGCTCGTCAAAATACACATAATCATGTTTAGGAATAGTTGAAATGATTAAATGATAAGTTAGTGGTAGTTTGGTAAAAAATTTTAAAAAAGAAGAAAAAACATCTATATCAACTAGACTCCCTTTTAAATTGTTAATATGGGATTTAAAATCTATGTTTCTACACCATGACATAATAAATTTTTCGTAGGAAATATTACATTAATAAAACCAAATATTTTGAAATACAAAAAATAGAATATAATGTGTTTCCTTCTGTTGGGTAAAAGCTTTGTTATCCTCCTGTGATGCCACTTTTGTGTATGAAGAGCTTGGGCTCGCATACAATGAATATGATGGTTTTTGGTAGGGTCAGCCGATACAGCTATTCAAATGTGGTCACATAAAAAAATCTATCTTAAAGATGGACTTTGAACCTAAAATTTAACAAGAGGATAATCTCGACTCTCACAAACATGTATTTGAAAGGAAAAGGAAAAGAAAATGTTGTATTTTGAATTTAAAATAATGATGTTAAGACCGGACTACACAAGCTATTTCAAACTAGAAATCAGTAAATTAGGGGGCCCATTTGTTTCATTATCTTCAACTCCCATAGGATTATAGGTCTACTAAACTGGTACTAGATAGGTGCACTGTCCTTTCTAATCTCTGGTACCAAACATGCAGGTCCTGATAACGTAAAAAATTTATCCTACACCTACGGATGCATCCGTAGCCAACTGCACCTTTTTAATAATATTTTATCTTAGGGATGATTTTGGGCTAAAAAAGTGGATTTTTAGAAAGAGAGAGAAAGAAAGAGAGAGTTATTTTGCTGATTTTAGCCCTCCCTCTCTATACACGAAAAGAACCATTTCTTGGAAAAACATCCAGCAAATTAAGGGATTCTAGCCATCATGTTACCCTATTTCAAGCCTGAGGTAAGTTTATTTATACATGAAGACTACCATTTCTTGGTTCTTGACTTATGAGTAACGACTTTAATATTATATCATGAAATATAAGTACGAGGCTCTAAACAATCAAATTACGTTGCACCTAAAAAATTCATTAAAAAAGGTTGTTTCAATACTGAAAAACCCTCATTTTGATCATCTCAACCTCAAGATGTATGGACATGAGAAAAAAAAAAGTTTTCAATGGTACATCTAGACCGTCAATTTTAAAAATTTTCAAATGCTCATAGATTTGCTCAATCTACACTATTTTGAAGTTTAAATTTTATTATTAGAAATAAAAATAAATTTTCCAGCCATCATAAAGATTTCTAATATTAGAACAACATATTTCAACACTATTTAAAGGTGCACCACATTTTGACTGTTTAAGGTCTCGGCCTTATACAAACCACACCCATAGTTATTTGATATATTTTGTTGTTATTGAGTACGGACTTATTGTTTAAAGGGTTAATTTTGTTTCTGATAATCTTTTGAAATTTTTCTTTTTTATATTTTATTTTTCGTAATTTGTTATTTGACCCTTTTCCCCTTTTTCTTTTTCCAATTTTTTAATTTTCAACTTATTTGACTGCTGCACACTAGCTAGTCTAATTAGGCTGTTGCCTTACCAATTCAACTGCCTGTCTAGTATCAACAACATTGATTTTAAAGATAGATCATTCTAATTTTGTGCCCATAGCTTTTCTAATTTTCTCTAATTTAATGTATTTTAACCATTTTCCCCTTTTTTCCTATTTTTTTGTAATTGTTTGTTTTATTCGACTGATCTGGATTGGCAAGTCTTAACTTCACTTGTTCCACCACCAGTCTAGTCGTAACAATATTTGATTTTAAAGATGGTCCATTCTAAATATATATTTTTGGAGTATTTATCATGTTCATTTAGTTCTTCGATCTGCATTATTTTTAGAAATACTCAAACATCACCAGGGTATCCATCTCACTATATTTTTAAATTTTTTTGTATATTCTTACGTGTGTGAGGATGAGAAGAATAGATGCTAAAAATTTTATCGCAATGTATATATATTTTTATTTGGTCTAAGTTATCTATTTTTGTTAGACTCATTGTGGATGAGCAATGATTTTGAAATCTCACTTATTTAATGAACATTATCTTCTCATAAATGAAAATTTTCAATACTAGTTTGGTTAAAAATAAAGCATTGAAGTTTACAAAATCCCAGATTAAAAACCAAGCACAATTTTCTAAGATGTGGTAATTTTAAAAGTTTGACCTCATCCATTCAGCCCGACCTTGATTGGGCCAAAGAGGCCCTGGAGCTACCTAGCACTATCTGGGTGGGGCGGGGTCGGGCCGAGTTGGGCCAGGCTAAATAACTAAGAACCAAATAAAAAAAATAAAGAAAAAAGAGGGGAGGGCCGGGACGAATGGGCTGGCCGTGCCCTAGCCCAACCCTTGGGGCCACAGTTTGTGGACCAGACCCTATTCTTTTAGGGGTGGTCCAATTGGTCTGGTCCAGGGCATCCGGCCACATCTCAACATAGTGTTCTCTATTAGCCGGTACGTATATTTCACAACCAACAATTTACAAATGGATGCAGTTTCTGTAAAGTAAAGCCTTACCTCTAAATTTTTGTTTGGAAAATGCTTTGAGCATGGAAAATCTCTAAGATGAATTTAAAATCTATTTCTACCACCGATTATGAAATTTATCGCTAAAAAATTGGTACAAATCTTATGGATCCATGAACATTTAAAAATGAACAGTCTAGATAATGTGTTATTTTTTACTTGAAAAATTACCATCATAATAACCAAGATCCAGATGATCGATCTTAAGATTTTCTTGTATCATAACTATAATTTTCAATGAATCTGATTCTGAAATCATAATTTTCAATAAATTTTGCGACGAGTCTTATTCTGTTTGTCTTTTATGAATTTTGGCCTTATTTGAATTTTTAAATTTTTTTTTGGGGTGGTTCAGTGGGGATGACGAGCCTTGACCGTTTTTTCAATCGTGGTTTTAACGTTTTCCTTTGCAAGGAAATTAAGGATTCCATCCCTTTGACAAAATATCGTTTCATCGTTCCAAGAAAAGCATCGGTCGACCTGCGGTACGGCGGTGCTGAGGACAAACTATGGTCTCTCTTATAGGGAGAGATATATATAGAGAGAGAGGGAAGGAGGGGGTAGTTGAATTCACTTGATGAATGGCGAGGAGTGGGCAGCTCGGTTGTGAACCAGCAGTGGGCTTATTGACGTGTTCGTCGAAGAAGAGGAAGGAGTACAAGGTCACAAACAGGCTTCAGGAAGGGAAGAGACCCCTTTATGCCATCGCCTTCAACTTCATTGACGCCCGCTACTACAACATCTTCTCCACCGTTGGTGGTAACAGGGTCTTCTTCTTTCCTTGCCTTACATAAACTTCTCTCTTTTTCTATGAATTTATCCTCTCCTTTGAATCATCATTTCCATCTTCTTTTTCTGGTATGCATACAGTCGTGGGAGGCAAGGCGACACAGGGGGAGTAAGGG